ATATATGAGCCCCATGTATGTAAAGCAAAGGCACATAGCTGTTTATCTGTTTAAGTGTATGTTATTCTTAGAATATTTTAACTGCTTTACCTTGCCGTCAGACAGCCCTTTCAAATGGGGAAGTGAAGCTGTGATCTCAAAGCCACCGGACTCTATTTACAAAAGTCATTTCAGGACACAGGAGTTGCTGGTCTACCACTGTCTCGATTGGTTGGTGTGTAAGGTAAAGTGATGAAAACACTCCAAATGTAGCGTATACTTAAACTGATATTGATTTTTTTGCGGTAGGTTTTTTAGGTGGCTAAAATGTGCTGGGGCCCCCGTCCACAGCGGTACATTGGTAGCTTCCATGCTGGGAGATTTGGTTTATAAAGGACATTACTTGAGCGACTGAGTACATAAAATAAGCACAGCAGTAACGTCAGAAAGGTCCAACCACTGTTTTTATATATCTTAAAACGGTACAGTTACAGCTGAAAATGACAACTGGAATACTGTAACCAAGTTTGCCAATTTCACATATCTCTGCAATTCAGAATGACTGGAAGTTGTCTATCTGGAAGTGATAGTGTGACGTCACAGTGATTTGGTCTATAGATTCATTAGAAATGAGAAACCTAAACATGTGATCCAGCAGCATTTTAGCTGAAGTTGGTTGGTCAGCTCACCACTCTGGCCGAGACTGAAAAATGTCAGATTGGAAATATTGTACAGACACTCGTGTTCCCCAGCGGGTGGACTTTAAAACCTATTGTGACTTTTCATCTAGTACCATCATCAGGTCAAAAAATTCCCATCAGCTTCAGTTGTGTCTGTGGCTAATTAGCAATGTTAGCATGCTAACCCATGGTGAACAACAGCATTTTCATTGTTAGCATTTAAGCTCATAGCACACCTGTGCCTGATTCCATCCTCACAGACCTGTTGGCTTGGCTACAGTATCTTGGTCATGTGAAAGCTTTAGAATAACTTCACAGAATTCAAACATTACCAGATGTAAAAGGATGCAAAAAAATCCATCATACATTCCTTGAACAGTAGTCATCAAAGGGCATCTGTGCAAGGGGTTTCCATTATTATTCACACTTCCCAAAACTTACCAAGGGGTCAATACATGAAACTGATTTTGGTGGAGAAACCACTGGGACTGTTTTTTTTTTTTTTGAATCACTTACAGACTGGTAACATCTCAGAGGTGACGCCGCCCACAGAGCAGCTGAGGGATGTCAGCTTGCCTTTGGAGCAGTTGAAGAATGCGGTGCTGGAGCTGTTAACCAGCATAGTGTGTGGATCTTGCATTTCAGTGTTGTTCACTTCCCTCCATGTCTGACTTTCCGGTATGGTCCATGTCACCTTGGTGCCTGGGTAACCGCCATGTGAGGCACACGTCGCCCAGCAACTGAAGCGATGGTTTTCACCGCCACAGTTCACCGTTAGTGTGGGTTTGCTGTAGTTTGCTAGGAGAGAGCGGCAGAGAAAAAAAAAAGCACTGTCAGGTTGCAGGTTGTATCTCCAACATGTTAAGGTTTCTGTAAATGACCATGTTTCACTATTCACCTTTTTAATGATACAAGGGGTTTTTCACAAACCCCTCAGTTGTGATTCACTATTACTGAGAGAATGATGGCTTAAAGCAAAGGGATTTTTTTTTAGAATTATACTGGAATTATTTTAAGTCTGTTCACAATGGTGGTGATAGATAACCTATCGAGAGTTTCCCTGCTTTTTTAAAGGTCATGCTAGGATGGACTCCAGACTGCTTCATCCCTGAATAAATGGGCTTGGAGAATACTTGTCATGAATTGTCCTGTGAGTGAGATTTCCTTTACCTCAACCAGCATATCCCCGCTTTAACATGTACAGCTAATTGACAATGAAATCAAGGTTTAATACTCGCATGGCAAAGGATTACCTTTAGATCCAGCTGGCTAGGCAACCCTGTCTCCCAGAAATTACGTTTGTAAGTTACTAAACTGCTTTCTTTTTTAAGTTGTTGTGGTTGTTGTGTGTTGTGTGGCTTGGATTATGTTGAAGAGGTGTTTCTTTACGGAAACGAAACACTACATTCATGTGCCATGTGGGCTTTGAAAGGAGGTTGCTGGGGAGGATGACAGGCGCACAAAGGGCAGGACTCTGACACCAGAACATTGGGTTCACGTCCAGACCCCTCTCTTAGGTTTAGGCAACAAAAGCACCTTGGTTGAGGAGAGATCACAGCTCCAGTTACATTTCAATTAAAAAAACAACAACAACAACAACAACAACAACAACAACAACAACAACAAAAAACCTGTAATGACAAAGACTTTTGTTTTAGGTTTAGGTGATTTTGGTTAAGGTCAGGGAAAGATTGTGATTTCGGTTAAATGTTAATTTAAAAAAAAAGGTAATGAAAACAAAAAAAAGCTATAGTCACTACCATAGAGTGTATGAAATAATGCAGTGGTTCTCAGATGATGTGCTGCGATGCACGTTTGGCATTTCGGCCGTCACGATCTTGCGTTTTTTGGAGTCAGAAGTGACCATATTTGGACGAGAGGGTGGAGCTATAGAGGAGTGAGGGGGGGATCTGACTCACTGATTGTAGCAATGCCTCGCAGACAGAAAGTCACTCAAAGCAGCCCCACCCAGCGGCTGTGGCTCAGAGGTAAAGCAGGTCATCTACTACTTGGAACATCAGCAATTCGATCCCCGGCTCCTCCAGTCTGCATGTTGAAGTATCCTTGAGCAAGATACTGAACCCCAAATTGCTCCCGATGGCTGTTCCATCGGTTTGTTAGTGGCAGGTGGCACCTTGTATGGTAGCCTTGGCCACCAGTGTGTGAATGCATGTGTCAATGGGTGAATGTGACTCGAAGTGTAAAGAGCGCTTTGAGTGGTCAGATGACTAGAGAGGCACTGTACACGTCCATCCATTTACCTTAAATATGTGTAATTTTATGCCTTAATAAAATGTAAACGGGTGAGTAATACAAACATTCCCCCCCCCGTTCAGTTTTTCTTTTATTTTTGCTGTAAAGCTGGGCATTTTAACGTGTCTGTGGGTATTTACTTGCTTCTGGAGCAAGCCTCAAGTAGCCATTTGAGGATTTGCAGCTTTTGGCATTTCCGCATTGGCTTCATTTTTCAGCCCCGGTGGTTGCCACGTGATCACCACCAGTGGGTATTGTATTGCAAGATTGCCTATTTTGGCGGAAACAATGTAAATACATTATCTGTGAACATTTTGCTGGTGCGTATTACATAAGTATCAACATTTTCATTTCCTTTTTATTTTAGTAGAAAATGCAGTTTGCTCAGCATTATGTTTCCCTTTATTGCATATGCTGTTTTAAATTAGTTTATGTGATTTCTAGGAGACAGGACTAGGCTAGAGCTAGAGAACTGATTTCTAGGTTTTAAAAGAGTTTTTTTTTCTAGCAGAAGAGAAATATTTCAATTTGACAGATTTTCACATACTTGTTGAAAATTAAAAAAAACAAATCCGTCTCATCTGCACCACTCTCAGGGGTAAAAACTACTCTTCACTTCTGATGTTAGAAATGAGCTAGAGAAATGCCTAACTCAGAATATATGTGCAGTATACTGCATCATTCCTACTGTAAATAGTTAGAAACAGAAACTTCTTACAACCTAAAACTCAAACTATCAAATACATTTAAACACATACCTGTGACACTCAGATGGATGAGTGTATGGTTTTCATTAATCCCACCGCCATAGTAGAGGATATGACACTGATAGCTGCCACTGTGAGAGACATTTAAATCTTGCATGAGCATGGTCATGTCGTGATCCACTCTGGTGTTCTCCCATGTGTTTGTTAGTGGTCTTGATGCATGGTAGCCATTCACAAAGATATTGCCCCGCTGAAAGTACAAAAATATTAATGGCCTTTCTCGGTCAACAGGGCACCGAATGGTCACATTCCCACCAACCTCCCCTCTGAGCTCAACAGGAGCAGCAGTTTCTGGAAAAGAAATTAAGAGGGGGCAAAGGGTCAGAGCATGCAGGGAAACCTTTTATGACACAGAATGAAATTGTCTTAAGTGAGAAATGAATGCAAGACCTTGTACACAAGATACAATTTTAGGCTATTTAACATCAGAAATGTGTCATCTTTAACTGCAGGCAAATTGTGTTTTACATAATGTCTGAGTTGGTAGCATTTTTGTTAAATATATTATAGACACTATGCACCATGATTGCTTAAAGTAGCCTAAATGTAAGTGAGGATTGAAAGACTAATGATGTGTGAAGTGTAACATGGAACAAGCCGAAATGTTGGTTATGTTGCTTAACAGAAAACCATGACCAAAATGGTTTGCTATCTTTATTATTTGATTTGAAATAAAGCTAAGCATTGTACTTTAAGTTAACAGCTGTGGGCGTGTGTAAAGGTCAGGGTTTTTGGTCAAGGCTTTTTTTTTGATAGCTCCTCTTTATGACGTGTTAGACTAATTTTCAGTTCCTCTTCAGCCTGTTTGCCTGTTTGTGTAAAGTACGCAGCTATCAGAGTCCTTCTCATATGTATAAATGATCATAAGGTCACTATATCGAAAGTGACGTTACAGCGTGCTGAAAGTTTTACTTTTCGTTGTCACTGTGTGTATGTGTGTTCTTGGCCACCCCATCAAAGCTGTAGTTGGTAACTTTTATTTAAAAAGAAATAGGTTTTTGTTATATTTGCTGAAACTGCCTTTACATTTACACAGCTCTAAATGAGAGAAATAATCTGAAAAAAAAAATCACATTCCTACTGAGTAGCCAAAATGAGCTGGCCCAGCATCGGCCCGAACTCGGCACACCAGAAGACATAAGTCGGGCTGCATGTGGCTTCTCTATTCAGCGTTAATTATGCCCCAGAATTGGGCCGAATAAACTGTCCTGATTTCTGCTGCCAACACTGCTATCACTAGGTATGCTATTGCCTTGTAACGCTCCTACTGGCCTTACCACACATGAATGAAATCAACCAATCAGAGCAGAGGAGTCTCTAACACAGCTGTCAATCATGTCAGTCACTGCTTGTAAACTGCAGTCAAACTGTCAAACTAGGCAGCGCTGATCGAATGTTAATCAAGATTCTGTAACTGCATTGCCCATTTCTCACCTCAAATGTTTTCAGAAACATATTTTAGTGTGGGCGGCACAGTGCTGTGGTGGTTAGCACTGTCGCCTCACAGCAAGTGGGTTCCTGGTTCGATCCCAGGAGGGAGCCCTTCTGTGCTGAGTTTGCATGTTCTCCCCGTGTCAGCGTGGTTTTTCGCTGGGTACTCTGGCTTCCTCCCACAGTCCAAAGACATACAGCCCTTTATGCATGACTCTAATTGTTCATAGGTATAAATGTGAGTGTGAATAGTTGTCTGTCTCTATGTGTCAGCCCTGCGATATTCTGGCGACCTGTCCAGGAGGTCCAAGACCTGCCTCTCACCCAATGTCAGCTGGGATAGGCTCCAGTCCCCCAGCGACCCTCGAGAGGATAAGCGGTTACGAAAATGGATGGATACTTTAGTGTACTGTTTGGCTGTAAAATAAGTGAGTGGGCAGTACTTTGGTCAACATTTATCCAACATGGCGGCCGGGTCACAAACGTTCTCATTTTACAGCTAAACATTATACTAAAATATGTTTCTGAAAACATTTGAGGTGAGAAACAGGCAACGAAGTAAAAAAACTTGATTTCTATTTCATATTTTCTTTCAGAACATAGTGACAGTTTTAGTACCTATGACCCAAAGTTATTTTCATAGAAGTCACCAGCTGTAGCTTTAAGCTCCATTTTGATTGCCCCCCCAGGGCAGTTGTTTGGTAGCTTAGAGTTGTCGTAAGTCAAATATTCTGTTGAAAACAGATGTAGGATCGATGAGAGCAGTGGGACTGTAATAGTAAAATTATGGGCCTTATAGGAATAGTTACTGAATAGTTAGGCTTTCTTGCCGTGATGTGAAGATCATTGACAAGAAAGCAAATAAGTGTATTTCCCAAAATGCCAAAACAAAGTGATAAAAGAGAACAAAAGAGTTGGATAATAATTATTTGTGTGTTCATCTCAGCAAAGAAATCTCTCGCATTATATGTAGTTAATTTATCTGGAGCTTCAATACTGCCGGTTTGTAATACATTTGGTGCTGCTTTGCTGGTGTGACTGTGATCAAGTACTGCTGTGATACCGCTAGTCCTTTTGCATGTGTGATCTACTTAGATAAATAACTGGTATCTTTGAAACCAAGATAAATGTGTGTTGTAAATGCACTGTTATGACGGCGCTGCTCACCTGTGTCAGCCAAGTGCGCTGTCATAGTCAAAACAATCAGCAGCTGGAGGGGAAACTTTCCGTTTCTTGGAAGAGGAGGAAACATAATTATTTACATGGTTACGCAGGTAACTTGGGGGCATAACAGTGACACATATTGATACATTAATTCAATTCAGATAGCCCTCCCCATAAGAAATCACTTCCTTTAATACTTAAATTCCTCTGACCCTGTGCCCAGAGATACTGTAATTAAGTGCCAGAGTACGCTGCCTCTGAAACCACACATGCTCATATTGACTGAACCTATCCTCCTCTGTCAACAACCCTCATTCTTTCTAATGCTGAAACGACTATTTCACCTTTACTCTAAAGCCCCACATTTGGTTTAGCAATATGGTTATGAATGTATGAATATGTGAGCACGCTAGCCTACTTTCTGGGAGTTTATCACAGGAAATACATTAACTCTCAGTTCTCAGTATCTTTATCCTGATAGATAATCTGGGTCCATGTTGCTGTCATACAGTTTAAGCGCTGGAGCTTCAGGTGATGACCCTCGATACCGGAAGCAATAGCTCCACTGAGTCATGTAGCGTCACAAGCATATTGTATTATTGTTAGGTTCATCGCTTTACATTGGAATTATGTTGGCAACCATTGGATTATTTCAGTAGTAGTACAATCCAAGAGTTAATCACAGTTGCAGCTAAATGGAGTCTTCTCCAGCGAAATTTGTGTGTATATGATGTTTTTTTTTAAATGTGGGAAAGAATAGGTGATAAACAACTTTTCCATTACCAGTAGACAAGTGTGCCTTTTTGTTTTTTTTACTGGTGTGTTATGTTCTATGACACAAACACGCTGGAAAAAAGGTGAGTAATCAGTAGAAGGCAGCACAGAGGCCAGTGAAAATGTTAAGGCGGTTACTTTTTTATATGTTTTTACTTATTCAATCTCCCTTTCAAAGTCGGTGCCAACTACTTTGGAGCGATGTTTGAGGTTGCCTGGATGGAGATGGAGGAAATTTGTGGTGGCGTGTTATTGTCTCGCACTGGAAAGGGGGTGAAAATAAGTGTGTCCACCCATGTTTCCATCATGTTGAGACTGTTGCAGCCATATGTCCCATGAATCATTGCTGATGGTGATTTTTCCCACTAAAGACAAAAGCCAGGTGTTAGTGGGTGTTTGTGGGGGTTTTGTCCAGTGGGAAAGGGGTTATTTGTGTCATGAGGAAACCTGTTTGTCTAACTTAGTTCTCAGCTCAGACTGATGGGAGCTGGAAGGATATTTTTGGTGGTTTCCTGGCTATCCATTGTACTTGCCTTACAGTAAGATGTTTGACACTCACATGAACAGGATTAGTGCTAATTTCCATGACTACACCACTGACTGTTCTGTGGAAGTAATCTTAGGCGCCACACCCAAATAAAAATTAGAAAAATGCTGACAAGGTTTGAAATTCAGGTCATGACATCATTCTCTAACGCTATAAACATGGTAGAACAATGCTGACCGTTTTGCAATAGATGTCAAGTGAGTCACAGCATTGTAATGTCTACTGCTGATTTCAAATGACAGAAAATGGCAGGGGTACTTACAGAACACACCGCGTGTTGCAAGAGGATGCCTGTTGAAAAGACAAACAAGTTAATCACTGGGATAGGACTGATTATCTTTTAAAGCAGTGCACTGTAACATTAACCAGGCAGTAAATCCCGTTTGCTCTAAATTTTTCATAAATGTTCATATTAAAGTACAAGAGTAGGCCTAGTGCTGCAGTTGCTTAAAACTCACCCAACCAGCTCTTCTCAAACAACCACAGGTTTGTTTCAATTCACATTCTTTGCATATTGTCTTGTTTTGTGCAATCTGTGAATCTATACACAAACAAAACTCAGTCTTATCTGAAATATATATCCGGCCCGTTACAGTCAGTCTTGTGAAGGAAAGTGGTTTCTGTCACACTGAAAGAAAACATCCAAACAGTGTTTTCAGCAAACATCAAGTGAGAGGAAAGTCCCAATGAGGTGTGCATTAGTGTACCTGCTAGTTTCAGACAGCGCCTTCTAGTATTCTCTTATTTTGTATGTGGTATCAAAGAAACCCAATGCTGAAAGTATCGGACACTACCACATATATTGTTTCAGGTCGTGCATACTTTTGTGTTTAAGTTATCAAATGCTCAATTTCCTGAAAGACATGCATGTCGGTAGACATAAACTTTCAGGAAATTCCCAGGTGGAAGAGATCATCTGAATTGTTTTAGATGTAGGCTGTGGTGTAACGCAATATATACAAGGAAAGGGGCAGTAAAAGTCTGCCTATCAAAGTCTGTCACATTCCTTATCTTTATAAGCACCTGGTTTCACATTACTCATAAATCCAGTACATACAATCTAGAAAGTACACAGGCTGCTGTCACTCTTTTGAGTTTTGCGGTTAAAACAAATTCACAGAAAATCTAGTGCTTTGCAAAAACAACAACAAAAAAGTAGAACCTTCTCAGAAACTCCAGGGGAAGCACCTTGCTTCAGAATGACCAGCAGTGTCTTCCCTTAATGGAAACCACAACTGAGGGAATTCCCAAGGGCCCCGTATAATTACCTAAAGTACTCCACACTGTGTTCAGTTTCAGGAAAAGTTATACCAGATGGATCATGAAAGTCTTATTAATAACTGTGGAATTTTTTGATTCATTATGAGGCTAAAATAAGCAAAAGGCATCGTGGCTTCTACAGTTTGAAATAATTGTGATGATGGTTTCGTTTTGCGAGATTTCTGTGACTCTGTGTCTGTTGCTACACCGGCAGCTACAATAATTATCCAAACTGATATAATAACTCTGCATTGATTATACCTTTGTGACAGCTTATGTCAAGTTTCTTTGTTGAGACTGTCAGAAAGGTGTTAAACCAACTCTAGAGCAATTTTTGAGGCTATAGTTTGAATGTATTGTACAATACAATGTATACGAATCCAAGTAAAGATATATGACAAAGCAGAGAGCACTGACTGACTGTGGTATGTGTGTGTGTGTGTGTGTGTGTGTGTGTGTGTGTGTGTGTGTGTACTCTTCTACCACTTCTGCCTATAGTCATTACACCGATGATTGATTACATGTTCACACGCTGGAGCTGTATTAGTCTGGGGAATCCCACATGACGCAACACGATTTTCGAAGCACTACTTCTGCTGTATTTTTTCAAGGCAATCAACCCAAGCATGCCTTTGGCCAGTCAGAAAGGCTAAGAAACCACATACCACCTTCACACGTTCAATTAATCTCACATGGAGTTTCATATCTTTTTGAAGTGGGAGCTGTACGATGCTTCATGAGTGTAAAAGTAGAGAGGAAAGCAAAGATTTTCTGTTGGGTGAAACCGATCAAACTGTGGTGAGAGACCTGTGGCAAGAGAGGTTTTCTTGTTGAGCTGCTGTTGCCTCACAGCTGAAACTTTTATAGACAAGAAAGAAAAAAACACACGCTCACTTTCTATTTCCTTTCTCATTTTAGATTCCAGCAGTATCATACACACTGTATACCTTTTTCATAATCCCATTCAGGCAGTAAGTGTATCTTCAACTCTAGCTCTGCCTCGTTATCCTTTAACTAAGCCAGTCAGGAAGAAATCATTAAATGTGTTTACACTGCTAACACACCCATAGCATTCACTTTCTATCTCTTAGCCGAAAATATTGTCATACACACAAAGCTGGGTAAATATCAGTGGCACATATTTGCACTGTGAAATAGATGACTCTTGCAGAGGCTAAAATGATGTTGTGATTTGCATGCACGTGTTAGTTTACCTATGAGTATAACTAACTAGATTTTTCTTCTGCTGCATGCAACGATCTAGCAACTTAAACTGCCGCAGGGCACTCAGAAACAAGCTCTTTCTGCCGAGATTTAGATTCTGGGAAGCAGCAAGCCGACACACACATGCATCCACACACTCATACACACCTCCGAACACACAGTGTTCACGGGCTTCTGCTCAATGGAATTTCAAGTATGTCTTTCATACAGAAAACTAAATACATGAGAAAGAGTCTTCCTTTCTGACCTCAACATGACACAAAATAATAGCCTTATTCACTATAATAAAATGAACTGGTTTTAAAAGAGACAAGAGAAAAGAAAGAGGAAAAAAAACAGCTCTTACCATTGTGATGTGTCGCCTCCACTGGCAGTGTGACCGAGTAAGAGAACGAAACTTCCTGCTCATAAAAAACAACATGGGTGGAGCTGAATGAGTCATTTGACTGTTTTTTTTAATCCTTTATTTTAATCACATACAGTCAGCAATCTATGACAAAACACTTGGTGTCAGCCTTACTACTCATAGTAAGGAAAGGTTAACAATGGCTCAATTCTATTCAAGTGTCAGTAATCCATCCAGCCAACATGAACCCCATATGTCATAATGTCTACTGTTAAACAGGCCTGTTGTAACAAATTTAATATATGTAGCTAAGGTTTATTTTGCTGTGAATAACTTAGTGTTGAGCAGCTTGAAGAGGGCTTCCACAGGAGCATGTAAGTGTGAGAGTTGCATTTGCACATGACTGTGCCTGCTTTCATTACGTTTATAGTGACGCCACAGATGATATCAGGAAGCTCGGTGAACTTCCCTGTCTGCTTAGAAGTTCAGCATCAGCTGACCTACTGTCATTCTTTGGATGGGATCGTAATGATTAATCATGGCAGATAACAGTTGGGATGCATCCAAAATATTCTGTTGCCATGTTTGTATGTTTTGTTTTTGTTTTTTTGACATGATGTGTTTCGGAATATGTCACAATGGGCAGAAGTGCGTCAGAGCCAGAGTCTGCTAAGTGAGAGGAGAAGAGGAAGCAAAAGACCAGAGTTAACTTAAGTTTAATGTCAAGGTCAACCAGTATTATACAGTCTGACTTAAGACATGGCAGGGGAGAAGTGGAAACAAGGAATTTTCTTCCTGAGAAAAACCTTTTGTTTAGTCTTCACTGAGACTGAATATGTCATAAAATGATGTTCTATTGTGAAAGCAGAGAGTCGTTGGCAAGGCAATAGCAAACATGCAATGTAGAAAATTTATGAGTAATAAATCAATACATATTTCAAAAAGTTAAAAAAAAGACTGGCCACTACGGGCAACTTTGAATGGGTGGATTATGAGTCAACAGACCCCTGGGCGCAGCTATGCAAAAGGCCCCAACGCCTCTCCTACATCACTGTAAGACACAGACAGTGAGTGCATTTACATGGACAGTTTAATTCCCTTTTCATTTGGAATGAAAGTTCATTCCTATTACAAGTGATCTTGTAAACAACTAATTCGGAATGAAAATGGCCAATGCGATTGAAAATTCATTCCGATGTAAGGGGCTGGAATATCCATCCATCCATTTTCTAACCGCTTATCCTTTTGAGGGTCATGGGGGGGGCTGGAGCCTATCCCAGCTGACACTGGGCAAGAGGTGGGGTACACCCTGGACAGGTCACCAGACTATCGCAGGACTGACACATAGAGACAGACAACCATTCACACTCACGGATAATTTAGAGTCACCAGTTAACCTGCATGTCTTTGGACTGTGGGAGGAAGCTGGAGTACCTGGAGAAAACCCACGCTGACATGGGGAGAACATGCAAACTCTGCACAGAAGGGCTCCCACACCCGGGATCGAACCAGAAACCCTCTTGCTGTGAGGCGACAGTGCTAACCACCACAGCACCGTGCCGCGGGGTTGGAGTATTCTGTTTCTAATTTTGAATGAAAAAATTTCTCGCACTTGTATACACTCATTCCTCTTCAGGTTCATTCCGGTCTTTCTGCGCATGCTCGTTTCCTTGCCCTTCTGGCGTGATGATGTATATAGCGCGCAGTGTTGCCAACTTAGCGACTTGTAAATGTAAAATTTTCTTTGTCTAATATTAATCACTGAAAGAAGGTTCATTTGTAGTTCTAAACATATTCAGGGTGTTTTTACTCAGTTTTTGTCTCTCCCATGATGTTATTCCTCTCTCCTACAGCGTCCATTACAATTGCATGCATATGGCCAATTATGCAAATTAGGTGATGATGTCATTTAGCGACTTTTAGGACAGCCAATAGCTACTTTTCTCACTGAGGAGTTGGCAACAATGATAGCACGTGCGTGACAAGATGGCAGCTTCTAAAAACAAGAGATGGTCCCGAGCAGGCTTCTACCTCCCTTCTCCCCCTCAACAGATGAAGCATTAGCAGAACAAGGTTGTTGTCGTACTGCTGCTTCAAGAATATAAGCAAAACAAGCCCGTAAAAGGCACTAAGAACGGCATTGTCAAGCATCTTGTTATCCGGAACGAGGACTACTGCCCCAAACCTTGCGCAGACCCGAATAAAGGCGATTAAAAGGCCATTAAACTGATCTCCTATGTAAACCCTCATTCGGAATGAATATTTCCCATGTAAACTACCTAAACTACCTTAAACTTTAATTCCGAATTATTTCATTCAGATTTATTTCATTCCGAATGAGAAGCCATCATGTAACCGCACCCAATGTGGTGGTTTTGCCTCTATTTTGTGTTTGTGTGTCTTTTTTAGGTCATTTTGCATCAGTTTTTGCTCGGTTGTGCATTTTTATCATCATCTTGTGTCTCTCTGTTGATATTTTGCTACTTTTTGTAGTTGTTTTGTGTCTCTTTGGTCATTTTAGTGTCTTCCTGGTTGATATCTGTTAATATGAGTGGCATTTTCAGGCCAGTGTCTGCTTGTGTAGTAATACATCCATGAATACAGCAAGATGCATAATTTAAGATTGTAAAAAATGTGAAATTGCATTATATGGAGTTTGTTCATTAGTCACAGCCAATATCTCTTATCTGTCATCTTCCACGGTGTAGTGATTGGTCTGAGCAGGGTGCTGCAAAGTGTGCTTAAATGCCTGTATGTCACACAATATCTCAAATGCCTCTCTTCAAAGTGGACATCGCTGACATTAGGTTCATAAAGATGATGGTTTATCCATGAAAATCAGTCATGTGTGTGAGTGCACAATCTGACTCTTGGGCTTGACTGGCCTTTCTCTGACATTTGCTTCAGGTGGTGGGCTATTTTCTCGAAAACTTACAGTATACTCCCACAGTCGGTTTGCTCGTAACACCTCAGCAGCTAACCACAGCGTGTTTCACATTCAGGGTTTGTTCTTTTTTTCCTCTGTCACATTCTGTGGAACATCATTTCACTTCTGTTTTTCAATCAGTTTGTTATAACACCTTGTCTTATAATACATATTAAAATTAGTACTGTAATTATTGATGCTCATTACCCACCCTGTCAATCATCGTTAAAAAAACTGATAATTCGCAAGGTTCCCAGGTAACTGAAGTAAATAAAAGAAGTGGACAGTCTCTAATGTATACATTTTAAGTTTGATATTTATTTCAATATCTGCTTTGACATATGGGGAATAAAGCTTGCATGATAAAGTGTTTTTTTTGCCCACAATGCATGCTTATGTCACCCAGTGTTAGCCCAGTGAGATTCTCTTTGCTTTTCATAGCTCCTTTCAGGATCTTTTTTGCAGCTGATATTAACCTTGTGATCGTTTTTCAGATGAGGTCAAGAAAATGTGGTAAGAGAAAAAAGTCCAGTTTGGGAATAGGTCTATCCCAGCCATGTGGAAAGCAGGGGAATGCCCTAAAGGAGTTAAAGGTCTCACACTGGGACTGTGAACCTGGTCCATATGCCTTTGGTCTGTAGTAAACAAACCTACACTGTAAGAGGATAAGAAGACTACAAATCAGCTGTTGCTGCTTTGGCAGGGAAGATGCTGCTTACAGGAAACTGCCAGGTGTTTTCCATGTGTATCCCTGAGAAATTCGACAGAAATACAGAGAAAGTCGAGTCTCCTTCTCACTTGTCCTTGACTCACCCCCATTATGTTCCTGTAGTCTGTCACAACATACTATCTGGTGTCCCCTTGAATCATGGCACCGCAGATGTTACCAGTAAAGATATTTATGAACAATGAAAATTAATTGGCCCCCTTATAGAGTTAAATGACTGTGGGACAGAATGTGTTAAAGTCAAAGAGGAAATGTGCATTGTGCCTTATCAAAAACATACTGACATGAAACATGAACATTTGTGGAAAGGCGACTTTACACAACAATGAAATAAATCAATCAACAGTGTGCACATTTTTCTCAGATGACAAAGAATTGTGGAGGATCTTCTGTTTAACCTAGTGGAAAGTTTAACACCCACACAGGCTTCCTTAACTTAAAGCCTTGGTGAGGTAATGAACAGGAATTTGGCTACTGAGCAGTATGTGGGAGGAACGCCTCAGAGATCATAACCAGCTCCTCAGTAGAGTTAATAAACAAATCAGTTCTCATCATTCTGGGGTTTTTTGAAACTTAAGAACAATCTCACCTTAACCACCACCAGCTCTTTTCAGCAACTTCCTGTTTGAAAAGTGTTCCTTTTAACTGAGCAAATGCGCAACATCTCTGGAAAAAAAAAAAGAGATGGTGCATGGTGCTGCAAAGTCTGCAGTTGGTGTGTCTATCTGCTATCCACATGTCTTTCTAAAGCTCTGTGAATTTGCTTGTCAGTCTGGGAAAGTGGTAGAGGTTTAGAGGTTGTTTTATCAGTGTTACTGTTAATCCTTGTGGTCAACAATAAAAAAAAAGGCCATCATGGTTTCCCGGAGCTTTAATTACGTGCAGTAGGGTAAAAGAGCAGTTTAGGCGCTGTGTGACAGCAGAGTTTCCCTTCTGTCTATGTATGGTCAGTGACAGAAATGAAACTCTAGCAAGGGATTCCCTGTCGTTAAGTGGCTTTGTTTGTTTGTTTGTTTGTTTGTGTGTGTGTGTCTGTTAGGTAGGTCCTTCTTTATCAGAGGGCTCATGAGAGGGGATGCTAAATTCTTATTTTAAGACAAATATTTCAGTTATTTATTTTTTCTTATGGTGCTTAATTGTGTTACAAATACATTACCACATAGCAAACCTGGGGCCAGGTTATCCAGCACATAAATACTACATGTAATGGTCATAGAAGAAGGGTTAATAGGGAGCAAGCAGCTCATTTTTGCCCTAGGGTCCAGAGGAGACATTAAGTTCTGTTATGATTTTTTAAGTAACATGTATTTTTCTAAAAACAGAAATGTAAATAATAAAGGGAATGACTCACTGTACACTTTTATGGCTTGCTGTGACAGGCCAATAAAACAGAGCCATCGTAG